TTAGGGCCACAGAATTGTTACTCAGGGACACAGAATTGTTACTGAGGGCCACAGAAACCGTTACTTAGGGCATACAGAATTGTTACTCAGGGACAGACACAGAATTGTTACTCAGGGACACAGAATTGTTACTGAGGGCCACAGAACCGTTACTTAGGGCCACAGAATTGTTGTTACTCAGGGACACAGAATTGTTACTGAGGGCCAGGGTTACCACAGAACCGTTACTCAGGGCCACAGAATTGTTACTCAGGGACAGACACAGAATTGTTACTGAGGGACACAGAATTGTTACTGAGGGCCACAGAACCGTTACTTAGGGCCACAGAAAATTGTTACTCAGGGACACAGAATTGTTACTGAGGGCCACAGAACCGTTACTTAGGGCACACAGAATTGTTACTTCAGGGACAGACACAGAATTGTTACTGAGGGACACAGAATTGTTACTTAGGGCCACAGAAACGTTACTTAGGGCCACAGAATTGTTACTCAGGGACAGACACAGAATTGTTACTGAGGGACACAGAATTGTTACTGAGGGCCACAGAACTGTTACTTAGGGCCACAGAATGTTACTCAGGGACACAGAATTGTTACTGAGGGCCACAGAACCGTTACTTAGGGCCACAGAATTGTTACTCAGGGACAGACACAAATTGTTACTGAGGGACACAGAATTGTTACTGAGGGCCACAGAACCGTTACTTAGGGCCACAGAATTGTTACTCAGGGGACACAGAATTGTTACTCAGGGGACACAGAATTGTTACTGAGGGCCACAGAATTGTTACTTAGGGCCACAGAAATTGTTACTCAGGGACACAGAATTGTTACTGAGGGACACAGAAGAATTGTTACTTAGGGCCACAGAATTGTTACTCAGGGACAGACACAGAATTGTTACTGAGGGACACAGAATTGTTACTGAGGGCCACAGAACCGTTACTTAGGGCCACAGAAATTGTTACTCAGGGACAGACACAGAATTGTTACTCAGGGACACAGAATTGTTACTGAGGGCCACAGAACCGTTTAGGGACACAGGGCAGGGCCACAGAATTGTTACTCAGGGACACAGAATTGTTACTGAGGGCCACAGAACCGTTACTTAGGGCCACAGAATTGTTACTCAGGGACAGACACAGAATTGTTACTGAGGGACACAGAATTGTTACTGAGGGCCACAGAACCGTTACTTAGGGCCACAGAATTGTTACTCAGGGACACAGAATTGTTACTGAGGGCCACAGAATTGTTACTTAGGGCCACAGAATTGTTACTCAGGGACAGACACAGAATTGTTACTCAGGGACACAGAATTGTTACTGAGGGCCACAGAACCGTTACTTAGGGCCACAGAATTGTTACTCAGGGACACAGAATTGTTACAGGGCCACAGAATTGTTACTGAGGGACACAGAATTGTTACTGAGGGACACAGAATTGTTACTTAGGGCCACAGAATTGTTACTGAGGGACACAGAATTGTTACTGAGGCCACAGACACAGAACCGTTACTTAGGGCCACAGAATTGTTACTCAGGGAGGGACACAGAATTGTTACTCAGGGACACAGAATTGTTACTGAGGGCCACAGAACCGTTACTTAGGGCCACAGAATTGTTACTCAGGGGACACAGAATTGTTACTCAGGGACAGACACAGAATTGTTACTCAGGGACACAGAATTGTTACTGAGGGCAGACACAGAATTGTTACTGAGGGACACAGAATTGTTACTCAGGGACACAGAATTGTTACTGAGGGACACAGAATTGTTACTGAGGGACACAGAATTGTTACTCAGGGCCACAGACACAGAATTGTTACTCAGGGACAGACACAGAATTGTTACTCAGGGACCACAGAATTGTTACTGAGGGCCACAGAATTGTTACTTAGGGCCACAGAATTGTTACTCAGGGACACAGAATTGTTACTCAGGGACACAGGTTACTGACACAGAATTGTTACTGAGGGCAGACACAGAATTGTTACTGAGGGACACAGAATTGTTACTGAGGGCCACAGAACCGTTACTTAGGGCCACAGAATTGTTTGTTACTCAGGGAACAGGGACACAGAATTGTTACTCAGGGACAGACACAGAATTGTTACTGAGGGACACAGAATTGTTACTGAGGGGACACAGAATTGTTACTCAGGGACAGACAGAATTGTTACTGAGGGACACAGAATTGTTACAGGGCCACAGAATTGTTACTTAGGGCCACAGAATTGTTACTGAGGGACACAGAAGAATTGTTACAGGGACAGAATTGTTACTCAGGGACACACAGAATTGTTACTGAGGGCCACAGAATTGTTACTTAGGGCCACAGAATTGTTACTCAGGGACAGACACAGAATTGTTACTGAGGGACACAGAATTGTTACTGAGGGCCACAGAATTGTTACTCAGGGACACAGAATTGTTACAGGACACAGAATTGTTACTGAGGGACACAGAATTGTTACTGAGGGACACACAGAATTGTTACTCAGGGAGGGGACACAGAATTGTTACTCAGGGACACAGAATTGTTACTGAGGGCCACAGAGAATTGTTACTCAGGGCCACAGAATTGTTACTCAGGGACACAGAATTGTTACTCAGGGACAGACAGAATTGTTACAGGGAATTGTTACTGAGGGACACAGAATTGTTACTGAGGGCCACAGAATTGTTACTTAGGGCCACAGAATTGTTACTCAGGGGGACACACATTGTTAATTGTTACTCATTGTTAGGGCCACAGACACAGAATTACTCTGAGGGACACAGAATTGTTACTGAGGGACACAGAATTGTTACTCAGGGACACAGAATTGTTACTCAGGGGGCCACAGAATTGTTACTCAGGGGGGACACAGAAATTGTTACTCAGGGCAGACACAGAATTGTTACTCAGGGGGACACAGAATTGTTACTGAGGGCCACAGAATTGTTACTGAGGCCACAGAATTGTTACTGAGGGACACAGAATTGTTACTCAGGGACAGACACAGAATTGTTACTTACAGAATTGTTACTGAGGGACACAGAATTGTTACTGAGGGACACAGAATTGTTACTCAGGGACACAGAATTGTTTACAGAAGGACACAGGAAGTTTGTTACTAGGGCCACAATTGTTACTCAGGGACAACACACAGAATTGTTACTCAGGGACAGAATTGTTACAGAATTGTTACTGAGGGACACAGAATTGTTACTTAGGGCCACAGAATTGTTACTCAGGGACACAGAATTGTTACTGTTACACAGAATTGACACAGGACACAGAATTGTTACTGAGGGACACACAGAATTGTTACTCTGAGGGACACAGAATTGTTTGTTAGGGCCACAGAATTGTTACTGAGGGCCACAGAATTGTTACTCAGGGGGACACAGAATTGTTACTGAGGGACACAGAATTGTTACTCAGGGACACACAGAATTGTTACTCAGGGACAGACACAGAATTGTTACTGAGGGACACACAGAATTGTTACTTAGGGCCACAGAACTGTTACTTAGGGCCACAGAAATTGTTACTCAGGGACACAGAATTGTTACTCAGGGACACAGAATTGTTACTGGGACACAGACACAGAATTGTTACTGAGGGACACAGAATTGTTACTGAGGGGGCACACAGAATTGTTACTGAGGGCCACAGAACTGTTACTTAGGGCCACAGAACTGTTTACTTAGGGCCACAAAACGTTACTCAGGGACACAGAATTGTTACTCAGGGACACAGAATCGTTTAATTAAAGAGTATGTCAGACAACATGCAGAGGAGTGGCAGAGGGGCAATGTTTTAGGAGCGAGCAGACGTGGCAGCAGAGGAAGGGGGGTCGAGGCAGCACTATTCGCAGCCAGAGGCTAGTGCTCCCGGTGTCATCCAGTACAGTGAGGAAGAGCTAACAGAGGGCGGTCAGGAACGGGGGGAGACATCCGCCTCTTCAGCAGCCAGGCGAAGAAGTAGTGGCGAGGAGAGTGGCTCGGTAGCCGGTGTAGAGACAGGTCTGTCTCCTGACCCACACGGGTGCGAGGGGGCTAGAGTGAGGCGGGACCCTAATTGATGATGATGGCCCCTAATCTGCCATGGGCACTTACCGCAGCCTCGTCTCATCAGGCTATTGTCTTCCGCATCATCAGGAGAAGAGGGTGGCAGCTTGGCAGCGAGCAAAAACAGTCGGTGGGTTGTCTCCATCGGCCACACTCTGCCATGTGCCACTTTCAGGTCTCCTCACACACTGCTGGTGTGTTGAATTTTTTGACATAGGGTGCTGGCAGATTACGGGCCTCCCATAGCTGCTGCCAGGCCCCTAATCTGCCATGGGCCCCTATACCGCCTCCTCATGCTGCTGCCAGGTCCAGAGTCTGTCATGGGTCCCTGTACGGCCTCCCATTGCTGCTGTCTCCATCGCCACACTCTGCCATGTGCCACTTTCAGGTCTCCTCACACACTGCTGGTGTGTTGAATTTTTTGACATAGGGTGCTGGCAGATTACGGGCCTCCCATAGCTGCTGCCAGGCCCCTAATCTGCCATGGGCCCCTATATACCGCCTCCTCATGCTGCTGCCAGTCCAGAGTCTGTCATGGGTCCCTGTACGGCCTCCCATTGCTGCTGTCTCCATCGCCACACTCTGCCATGTGCCACTTTCAGGTCTCCTCACACACTGTGGTGGTGTGTTGATTTTTTGACATAGGGTGCTGGCAGATTACGGGCCTCCCATAGCTGCTGCCAGGCCCCTAATCTGCCATGGGCCCCTATACCGCCTCCTCATGCTGCTGCCAAGTCCAGAGTCTGTCATGGGTCCCTGTACGGCCTCCCATTGCTGCTGTCTCCATCGCCACACTCTGCCATGTGCCACTTTCAGGTCTCCTCACACACTGCTGTGTGTGTTGATTTTTTTTGACATAGGGTGCTGGCAGATTACGGGCCTCCCATAGCTGCTGCCAGGCCCCTAATCTGCCATGGGCCCCCTATATACCGCCTCCTCATGCTGCTGCCAAGTCCAGAGTCTCTCATGGGTCCCTGTACGGCCTCCCATTGCTGCTGTCTCCATCGCCACACTCTGCCATGTGCCACTTTCAGGTCTCCTCACACACTGCTGGTGTGTTGAATTTTTTGACATAGGGTGCTGGCAGATTACGGGCCTCCCATAGCTGCTGCCAGGCCCCTAATCTGCCATGGGCCTATATACCGCCTCCTCATGCTGCTGCCAGGTCCAGAGTCTGTCATGGGTCCTGTACGGCCTCCCATTGCTGCTGTGTCCATCGCCACACTCTGCCATGTGCCACTTTCAGGTCTCCTCACACACTGCTGGTGTGTTGAATTTTTTGACATAGGGTGCTGGCAGATTACGGGCCTCCCATAGCTGCTGCCAGGCCCCTAATCTGCCATGGGCCCCTATATACCGCCTCCTCATGCTGCTGCCAGGTCCAGAGTCTGTCATGGGTCCCTGTACGGCCTCCCATTGCTGCTGTCTCCATCGCCACACTCTGCCATGTGCCACTTTCAGGTCTCCTCACACACTGCTGGTGTGTTGAATTTTTTGACATAGGGTGCTGGCAGATTACGGGCCTCCTATAGCTAGCTGCTGCCAGGCCCCTAATCTGCCATGGGCCCCTATATACCGCCTCCTCATGCTGCTGCCAAGTCCAGAGTCTCTCATGGGTCCCTGTACGGCCTCCCATTGCTGCTGTCTCCCATCGCCACACTCTGCCATGTGCCACTTTCAGGTCTCCTCACACACTGCTGGTGTGTTGAATTTTTTGACATAGGGTGCTGGCAGATTACGGGCCTCCCATAGCTGCTGCCAGGCCCCTAATCTGCCATGGGCCCCTATATACCGCCTCCTCATGCTGCTGCCAGGTCCAGAGTCTCTCATGGGTCCCTGTACGGCCTCCCATTGCTGCTGTCTCCATCGCCACACTCTGCCATGTGCCACTTTCAGGTCTCCTCACACACTGCTGGTGTGTTGAATTTTTTGACATAGGGTGCTGGCAGATTACGGGCCTCCCATAGCTGCTGCCAGGCCCCTAATCTGCCATGGGGCCCCTATATACCGCCCTCCTCATGCTGCTGCCAAGTCCAGAGTCTGTCATGGGTCCCTGTACGGCCTCCCATTGCTGCTGTCTCCATCGCCACACTCTGCCATGTGCCACTTTCAGGTCTCCTCACACACTGCTGGTGTGTTCAATTTTTTGACATAGGGTGCTGGCAGATTCGGGCCTCCCATAGCTGCTGCCAGGCCCCTAATCTGCCATGGGCCCCTATATACCGCCTCCTCATGCTGCTGCCAGGTCCAGAGTCTCTCATGGGTCCCTGTACGGCCTCCCATTGCTGCTGTCTCCATCGCCACACTCTGCCATGTGCCACTTTCAGGTCTCCTCACACACTGCTGGTGTGTTGAATTTTTTGACATAGGGTGCTGGCAGATTACGGGCCTCCCATAGCTGCTGCCAGGCCCCTAATCTGCCATGGGCCCCTATATACCGCCTCCTCATGCTGCTGCCAGGTCCAGAGTCTCTCATGGGTCCCTGTACGGCCTCCCATTGCTGCTGTCTCCATCGCCACACTCTGCCATGTGCCACTTTCAGGTCTCCTCACACACTGCTGGTGTGTTGAATTTTTTGACATAGGGTGCTGGCAGATTACGGGCCTCCCATAGCTGCTGCCAGGCCCCTAATCTGCCATGGGCCCCTATATACCGCCTCCTCATGCTGCTGCCAGGTCCAGAGTCTCTCATGGGTCCCTGTACGGCCTCCCATTGCTGCTGTCTCCATCGCCACACTCTGCCATGTGCCACTTTCAGGTCTCCTCACACTGCTGGTGTGTTGAATTTTTTGACATAGGGTGCTGGCAGATTACGGGCCTCCCATTGCTGCTGCCAGGCCCCTAATCTGCCATGGGCCCCTATATACCGCCTCCTCATGCTGCTGCCAGGTCCAGAGTCTGTCATGGGTCCCTGTACGGCCTCCCATTGCTGCTGTCTCCATCGCCACACACTGCTGCCAGGGTCGCAGCAGTGTCAGTGGAGGCATCACACACTGCTAGGCACGGGCTCCACCAGCTGCTGCAGCCTACCACCACTGCCATAGGTGGTGCAGTGTTACTGGCAGTCCTCCAGTGAGGAGTAGCTGGGGCAAAGGCTCCTCATCTGGGTGTGGCAATTTTTCGTCAAGCAGGCCCGAGGAAGTACCGCCTCCCATGTGACTGTGGCCAGAAAGATGGCCAGCCAGTGCTGCTGGGTCCATGGGTCCCTGTACGGCGTTGCCCATTGCTGCTGTCTCCATCGCCATTCTCTGCCATGGGCCACTGATCAGGTCTACGGCTCTGCCTGCTGGTGTGTTGGTGTGTTCCATTTTTTGACATAGGGTGCTGGCAGATTACGGGCCTCCCATGCTGGCTGCTGCCAGGCCTTAATCTGCCATGGGCCCCTATATACCGCCTCCCTCCTCATGCTGCTGCCAGGTCCAGAGTCTGTCATGGGTCCCTGTACGGCCTCCCATTGCTGCTGTCTCCATCGCCACACTCTGCCATGTGCCACTTTCAGGTCTCACACACTGCTGGTGTGTTGAATTTTTTGACATAGGGTGCTGGCAGATACGGGCCTCCCCATAGCTGCTGCCAGGCCCCTAATCTGCCATGGGCCCCTATACCGCCTCCTCATGCTGCTGTCCTGTCTCTCATGGGTCCCTGTCGGCCTCCCATTGTGCTGCTGTCTCCATGCCACTCTGCCATGTGCCACTTTCAGGTCTCCTCACACTGCTGGTGTGTTTATTTTTTGACATAGGGTGCTGGCAGATTACGGGCCTCCCATAGCTGCTGCCAGGCCCCTAATCTGCCATGGGCCCCTATATACCGCCTCCTCATGCTGCTGCCAGGTCCAGAGTCTGTCATGGGTCCCTGTACGGCCTCCCATTGCTGCTGTCTCCATCGCCACACTCTGCCATGTGCCACTTTCAGGTCTCCCTCACACACTGCTGGTGTGTTGAATTTTTTGACATAGGGTGCTGGCAGATTACGGGCTCCCATAGCTGCTGCCAGGCCCCTAATCTGCCATGGGCCCCCCTATATACCGCCTCCTCATGCTGCTGCCTGCCAGGTCCAGAGTCTCTCATGGGTCCCTGTACGGCCTCCCATTGCTGCTGTCTCCATCGCCACACTCTGCCATGTGCCACTTTCAGGTCTCTCACACACTGCTGGTGTGTTGAATTTTTTGACATAGGGTGCTGGCAGATTACGGGCCTCCCATAGCTGCTGCCAGGGCCCCTAATCTGCCATGGGCCCCTATATACCGCCTCCTCATGCTGCTGCCAAGTCCAGAGTCTCTCATGGGTCCCTGTACGGGCCTCCCATTGCTGCTGTCTCCATCGCCACACTCTGCCATGTGCCACTTTCAGGTCTCCTCACACTGCTGGTGTGTTGAATTTTTTGACATAGGGTGCTGGCAGATTACGGGCCTCCCATAGCTGCTGCCAGGCCCCTAATCTGCCATGGGCCCCTGTACCGCCTCCTCATGCTGCTGCCAGTCCAGAGTCTGTCATGGGTCCCTGTACGGCCTCCCATTGCTGTCTCCATGCCACACTCTGCCATGTGCCACTTTCAGGTCTCCTCACACTGCTGGTGTGTTGAATTTTTTGACATAGGGTGCTGGCAGATTACGGGCCTCCCTATAGCTGCTGCCAGGCCCCTAATCTGCCATGGGCCCCTATACCGCCCTCATGCTGCTGCCAGGTCCAGAGTCTCTCATGGGTCCCTGTACGGCCTCCCATTGCTGCTGTCTCCATCGCCACACTCTGCCTGTGCCACTTTCAGGTCTCCTCACACACACTGCTGGTGTGTTGAATTTTTTGACATAGGGTGCTGGCAGATTACGGGCCTCCCATTGCTGCTGCCAGGCCCGTAATCTGCCATGGGCCCCCGTACCGACTCCTCATGCTGTGACGTTGCAACAAGGTGGAATTCAACCCTACATATGTTAGACCGCCTTTACGAACAGCAAAAGGCCATCACAGATTTCCTGATGTTAAAAGCGGATAAAGGTACTCCCTGTGTAACTTAGATGTCAGCCATTGGCAGCTCATGCGTGACACCTGCGCTTGCTCAGGCCCTTTGAGGAGGCCACGCTATTCGTGAGTCGGCAGGACTATGGGATGAACGACGTCATTCCTCTGTTGCACGTCCTGGAACAAATGCTGTTAATAATGGCTGGTCAGGGTGCGGTAGACGTGGCGCACAGATCTCAACGCCACATGACCCTGTGGGGGCAGGACAGGAAGAAGAGGAGGAGAGGTAGGAGAGGAGGACATTGGTGCTCAGGAATTATTGAGTGAAATGGGTGGTTTTTCCACTCAGCGGACAGGAGTGGAGGAGCAGGAGCATCTGGTAGAGGAGGAGGAAGAGGAGACAGAGGACCCAGACGCACCGTGGCAGTATGCTGTGGAGATGGAGGCAGGGAGTCCCTCGCATTCCTTGGCACAAATGGCCCATAGCATGCTCGCTTGCTTGCGTACGACAGCCGAATAATAACCATCAGACAGAGGGATGACTTTTGGCTGTCCACCTTGTTGGACCCTCGCTACCGTTCCAAAAATGGTGGCCTTTTTCACACCTGCTGAGAGGGAGGCCAAAATAACGTACTATAAAAACCACCTATGTAGTCAGCTGGTCTCTGCCTGTCTGCGCCAACGTCCATCCTCAGACACTGTGGGCCCTGTGCGCTCGCGTTCCGCTGCCATGGCAGCAGGGGAGGGGTGGGGTGGTAGGAGCAGTGGCAGCTCCACCAGCAGCAGCTGCCTCAGCCTCAGTCTGCAGTCGATGATGAGTAGCTTTCTTCACCAGCGCAGTGAGGAAACTAATAACCAGCCGCAGCAGCAGCAGCAGCAGCATCAGGTGGACCTGGAGCAGGACCTCAAACAACAGGCTTAGGCCTACTTGGACAGCACCCTGCCAACCGAGGTAGACAATCCCTTGACTACTGGGCAACGAAACTTGACCTTTGGCCCCAACTAGCTGAATTTGCCCTTGAAAGGCTGTCATGCCCGGCCAGTAGCGTGGCATCGGAGCGCGTGTTTAGTGCGGCAGGAGGTATTGCAACTCCGCGGAGGACACGACTGTCCACCCAAAGTGTGGAGAGACTCACGTTTGTGAAAATGAATCAGGCGTGGATTAGTCTGGATTTCAAACCACCAGTTCCTGACACAACTGACTAAATCCGCCATGAATCATGCCCCAAACATGTGCCACTTTCAGGTCTCCTCACACTGCTGGTGTGTTCCATTTTTTGTCATAGGGTGCTGGCAGATTACGGGCCTCCCATAGCTGCTGCCAGGCCCCTAATCTGCCATGGGCCCCTATACCGCCTCCTCATGCTGCTGCCAAGTCCAGAGTCTGTCATGGGTCCCTGTACGGCCTCCCATTGCTGCTGTCTCCATCGCCACACTCTGCCATGTGCCACTTTCAGGTCTCCTCACACTGCTGGTGTGTTGAATTTTTTGACATAGGGTGCTGGCAGATTACGGGCCTCCCATAGCTGCTGCCAGGCCCCTA